CTCAGCAGCACCACAGATCCGGGGTTCTATCCCCGGGCTGGGAAAAGTTGACTCAGCCTTTCATCTCTGGAGTGAGTCGATAAAATGAGTAACAAGTTCACTTTGGGACTAAACACTGGGATCCTGCGACAAGCTGACCAATTGTCCAGGCTAAGATGCACACGGTGAAAGGAAAACCCACGGTGAAAGGAAAGCACCCGGAGCCCACGGTCTAGAAAGCATATATCAGGACACTGCCGGCGTTGGCTCTCTAAGAGCTGTTTGTGCCGCCGAGTTTAGATTTTTAGTTTTAGGAAGTCTATTATAAAGGATAGTTGCATTCCTCTGAGCCAGGTTAATCATTGGCTGTAGGTCACAAAGAAAATGCATAGCTAGTACGGGAGTAGTTTTAACACCTCCAGTGATCAAGCGTAAAGCCAGGTTTTGGAAAACGTCAAACATTCCCAAGACCCTATCTGAGGCAGAGACCAGCAATTCATTGAAATAATTTAAAACCGGTTGGACATAAGTGGCTTATAAATAGTGTTAAGAGTAGCTCTGCCACATCCCCATTTAGCACCAGATAGTCTCTTAAGAATGAAGGGTCTCTTCCTAGCTTTTGAGATGGCGTACTCAGCACGGTTAGTCCATTTCAATTTGTTATCAAAGATGCAATCCAGATAAATTGGAACATCATTATGTTGCAAGGTAGAACGTCTGTAAACAAGATCAGAAGTAAAAGGCTATCTATTTAAGTAAAATACCGAACTAGCAGTCTTCCCCAATTTATAGTCATGTAGTCATATTATACTCCAAACTTCAGCTCTCCAGCCTTTCGAGAGACTTATTCAGGACAGTACTTAGCTTGGATTGATCATCTTTAGGTAAATATATTAAATAAAATAGGGCTGGTCACAGTTCCCTGTGGTAAGCCAGTTCACTTTGTTAAAAGTTGGACACAGAATCTGCAAAACAGGTAGCGCAGAAACGTTGTGAAAGAAAACTCCTGATCCAAGAGAGCCTATTACTACACACACAAGTTTTCATCATTTCTGGATACATTTGAGTTGCCAAAATTTATCAGAAGCAGCCTCAAAGTCTACAAACACAGTACGCTCTCTACAAGATTTTAACCGAAATAATTATCTAAAGATGTAATGAAGAAAAATACAGAGAAATCAATAATTACGATTCATTAAGAAATAAATACATAAATACAACACAGAAGCAATCTAAAATCACTAAGCATTTAAAGAATATAATTAAATATTTCATAAAGCAAAAGACAAGGGAACAGATAATCATGTCAATTAGATTATTAAATTCATTAACATTCTGCCAGAATAATGTCAGTATGATTGTTAAAAATACCTGTATAAAAAGTAAAAAATATAATCAAATAAATTCACAAAATGAATTAAAAAATTCGTATTCATACAACAGAATAAGAAATCAATTCACGCGCAGGAATACTAAAGGCAGTTTATTCAAACGATGCCAAGTTTCGCTAAGCAAGATGGTTACCATAGGCGATTTTTTTCCTACACTACCCTCCAAAGGTTAAGGCTCAACATGTTTTTGAGTGTAATTTAAGAATGAAGCAACATAGAAACAAAACATTTATAGAGGATATGTTCATTAAACAGGTCTTTAATGAATGCGATATAGAATGTTTCTAAAGTTCAACATATACATTAAAGAATTACAACAAAAAAAATTGCATTCTTGGCAGAGAAATCCAGTCTTGGGAAAAACCGTAGTAGTAGTAGCAACGGAGGACGTGGGCATCATAACCCCTACCATTACGGTTAATCGGTTCTGCCCACGTCCGCCCTTGTCTAGTATTTATTAATAATTCTTAAATTTTTACATTGCCATATATTGTGGCTGATTTACAAATAAAGTCTATAAAATAATTGCATTCACATTATTAACATAACTTATCACATAAATTTTGGTTGAAGAATTTTCTCTAATGAATTTCTTTCTTTTGTAACTTCTCTTTATTTTTAAACGGTCTGTATATTATTTCTTTATCGTGAAGTTTCTCTTTCGTTATTTGCACCATTTCAACTAGAATGATGTCTAAGTCCTTATGCAAAATTCCTTTCATTTTGCTGCATTTCTTTCATGAGTTTCTCAGTTTCAAGGTTTCTATTGTATTTCTCATATTATACCTTATATATTGTGCTAATGTCTTCCAGAATAATACTTTTTTCTTTCCAAGGTTTTTTCATCTTTTCCTTTTGTATGTCGCTGAATCCTATCTCTCTTTCATCACACCGAATCAACATGGGTATGCTTTCTTGTACCTTGATTTTCAAGTTCATAATATCTTTATGACAATTTAACTACCAGTGCGTCATGTCTTCATAATCGCGAAAAGTCAGTATTTATTTTTCGTAATTTGAATGCATGTACATTTTAAATATAATATGTATGACACTTTTTGTTAGAAATTAATCACTTTTTCAAATTATGAGCACTGATGTTATTTGCTTTACTCTGTTATAGACTAGCAGCTACGCGGCCAGCCTTCGTCTGCCTTTTAAATGTACCGGAAAATGCCTGAAGGGAACACCAAACGTTAAATTTAGATACTGCGCAGAATTTTACTCAGCAGAACAACTTCATCAAAAAAAAAAAAAAAAAAAAAAAAAAAACCACAAATTTTAAAAAAAAATGTATTACATATAACAAAATTACAATTAAATTACAATTAAATAAGCAATATCCCTTAATACAAAGATTAATTATCCTAATAAATAAAATTAACCAATTTCCCGTTGCCTTCTCCCAACTAACGTCCGGTATCCAAGAGAAATATTAAATTTAAAAACTGCACAGAATTTTCGCCCTCATTTTTCCAAGTGGCAACAGATTTTCAACAGTCAGCAGTCCAGTATACAACTGAATGAAAAACTGTTGCCAAAACCATATTTCTAAAAGAATGAAACTATTCAAAATGATGCGATAAAATCGAAAAGATCAACTAAAGAAAAATCTGGTTTGAATTTTGAAAAAAATCGCTTCGATGTGCACTGGCTCTTGTCTAGATGTACCTATATACCGAATTTGATAGCCCTGCGTCTATTAGCTTACTCGTAGCACGAACGAAAGCACACAGACTCTTTCTTTTATATGTAGAGATTGCATTTATTACTTTACGCCTTTATTTTATTGTACTATTACATCTTTATTATAACTTGTTATATGAAATTATATTTCTTGACATAAATCTGTACCCAATTTTGTTAGGATGTCCATTGTTTTTGTGATTTTTTGCACTGTGTATTTTTGTTTTACTAAGAATTGACTAAAATCTTGAATATTTGTTGTTGGCATTTTAATATGAAAATCTTTTATGAGTGGTCAGTTAGTAATATAATGTTCAGGCGTTCCCAGCTGGCCACAAATACAGGTACTTGTAGCCAGCTAGCCACAAGTACCTGTATTTGAAGGTCAGTGTGACCACCGAAAGATATCCCAACCATTATTCCACCACCTCTGTAATTGTGCCTTTCTACAATGTGGGATTGGCTGTACTTTATGCGTTATTCTCTCTAGATCAGTTGACAATATCAATCACTCTCGATTGTGAATATAACAGACGCCCATGGTTGACTGGTCCAGGAGAAGTGTGACTGGTCCATAAAAGGGCACTTTTATGACCTCGAGACAAGAGATCACAAACAATTGGTCGTCTTGCATACAGACCTACAACTTCTGCGCACTATAGTAGATTAGATTCGTGTTCCTGTTGCCACTATATGATCTGCCATGAAATGAGGCACAATAATGTTGCTCCTCCTTTCGGGGTGAAAGAGCTAAATAACGGTCTCCCGCAGGTGTTGTACTTTTGATCTGCCTGGAACGTATCCTCTAAACACAGAATCCTCGGACTCATTCTGATTGCATAGTCGGTGGAGCACACTACGATAGGCACTGAGTCGTCTAGCAGCGTCAGCTTGTGACATCCCCATTTCCATCCATCCGATCGCCCGCCACCTCAACGAATAAGGGCAAACGACTCTCCTGGATATTGTCAACGAAACAGCTAATAAAACCTGAAGATCAACACCTGTGAACAAAACTTACAGTCTCCAACTCCTATATAAGTATTTATTTCTATAAAATAAAAGTGGTAGCTATTTTTTTTTCCTACATTTTCTTAAATTTCGTTATTATCGTGCATATAAACTGTGAATGTAAATGAACGTTGTTTTTTCAGATTTTATTATTATTACGAGTATTATCCTCAAAAGATAGCAACACGTTCCTTTTCTTTTTGTTCCACCCGTTATGGTTATTATTCCCTCCCAAATTTACGGCCCGCCAACGGCCAATCTCTAAGGTCTCTGAGCATTGGTAGTTCGGTCCGATGCTTGAATCATGCGAACAGGCTGACTGCATGGTCGTTTCGGGGTTGTTTTCGTTTCTCCCTGTATAATTAGTATACGAGCCAGTTTTCTTTAGTATGTCCTCCCCGAAGTCATCCTTTCCCTTAGACGACATAGCCCTCGAGTGCTTTGCCGTAATGAAATAAGTGAAAAAAAACCAAACCTTCCAAATTTGTTCATCGTTTTTTGCTCCTGAGGAAGACAGTTTTTAGTCTGATAGCCATCAAAATAGATATGATTTCTTCAGAATTCTACTCCAGTCTAATGTTGTTTGACATGTTTCTCTTCCAACTAAACAATAAATTGTTGTAACAGAAACTTTGAGGAACCAATAACAAAGGAAAGAATTTCATTATTCAACCAAAAACGTTTAATAATTTTCTTTTTTTAATGTATAACAGTGAATTAATTTCTACGCTTTTAAAAAAAGTTCAAATTCTCTTGAGGTAAGTCACGAACACTGTTTAATCTCGCGGTATATCTACTTACATGATCTTTCAGCAATCAAACATAAAATTATATTATTAACAACTTTATTTACAAAATATAGATTATATGATGATTTATAATTCCACGCCTTTCATATGAGAATGAGTTTTAATATTAAATATTTCATTTCAGAAACTCAATAAAAAGAAAGCGAAAGGAACAATGGACGTTGCCAAACTGTCGGAAAACGTCGCAAAAAATAGGTACAAAGATGTCCTGCCATGTATGTAAACAGAAATAATTATTCTATTTGTTCATTTTATCTTTTACTTTATATACTGTGAGAAAAAGTTTGGTAAAATTTTTTTATATTTAATATTATTGCTACAATTTCTAATTTTAATTATTTTTTAATGGATTTCATACAGTATAAGTTAATGATGAGCTCCAAATACGTTAAGTACGTTAATAATAATTTGTTTCGAGTTTTCTAGCCCGCTATTGTACAAGCATGCTGCATGGATGGGTTTTCGTGATTTTTCTGTCATGCAACATGTACAAAGATAGCAAGTATGCAAGCCTTAAAAATTCCTCCATGAAAACCATCCCTTATTTGTATGATAGTCCTTCCTTCAGAAAATTATACTTGATTAAATCAGCCAGCTACCCTTATGCATTGCAGTGGCCCGCTATAATACAGCATTTTTACTACACTGCATCACGTTTAGAAAATAATGTCAGATTAATGTTTGATTTAGAGCCATAAGATTACGAAACAAATTTAAATTTACTGAAAAACTAAATATATCATAAAATACGTAAATAAAAATATTTCTAAAATCACACTGATTTAACCACATGCAATTATCTGAACATTCTCAACTTTTAAACTGTGTTCCGAGAAATTCTAAGAGTTCCATAAATAAAAATAAAAATTTGAAAGAATTTCTTGCGGATCTCCAAAATTAAACATCTGAAATAATTAATTAAATAACATTCTCTTATCATTATTAATATACCCTGACGTAATATGGGATAAATGTATTTTTATAACTAAAAATATGATAAAATAATAATTTTCTTGCCATTTTGTACATAAAATGCACACATAAACGGTGACATATTTTCAGTGCATATTTCAAACATATGACATATTTTCAGTGCTTTTTAACACTTTGCTTTTCTGAAGAAGATGGGGTTTCACCAAATATTATATATATAATCAGGCGGTATCCTCAGGCGACAGCGTTTGAAGATTAATTTGTTGCTCTCATCTATGGTTAGAAATAAAATGATGTGTCTGTTTTCATTAATATACTAATACAATTTGTGTATGGAAGCTCCACGATTTTATTTCACTAACGAACATACGATCAAAACTACTGTAACAGCTAAAAGGTTATTTTTAGTACAGCTGATTATAATCGTATAATTTGAAAAGTTTTTTATATATTTCATTTTATACTTTGTTGTCTGTAATTTTGTTGGATTTTCGGTGTTCTTGAGAGTAATACTTAGTAGGAAATTTGGTTGTCTACCAAAGAAGCGTACTTGATGTAAGTGAAATAAAAAGTTATTAATGAATACTTTCCTTGAGCTTTACAAAAGAGGTGAACAGAGCATGTCAACATACGACATGTGAGAAAAAACATAGGATGAATAACAGGTGATTAACTTGACTGATATAAACTACTCCGTCAGTAGAGTCTATTGAACAATTCATTTAGCTCAGCAGGTTACTTGATTAAAACTCCATGCGGTACTTCATATAAATGAGGTCCAGAATATACTTCTATAATACATACCAACGGTCCATGCATCACATCGCTACAACACGCTGGAGAGAATCGCAGCTACCGGCTATGTCGCAGGAGGCTATGTGTCGCAGGACGACACACATTTCGGATAGGTACATCGGGACGAAAATTGAAGAGCAATTGTTTGCATGTATAAGTTAGTTTCAAATAAAATATCACTTCAGAAAAACATCTCTGATGTTAAGAGATTGAACATTGCTAAGCACATTATTGTTAAAAGTATTGATCAATATTTTTTTTTTTTTTTTTTTTTTTTTTTCCAAAATGGAGATCTTAGTCACAGAATTTTATAGGATTCATGTTTTAGGAAACACTGGCAGGCTTTATGTATCACTCGTAATATTTTTTCCATTAATTAGAAACGAAAAAATATTTGTAGTTCAATGAATTTTTTGTACGGTTATCAGATTATGATTTTAAATTAATGAAACTTCATGAGAATGTCAGTAACGCATTTTTAGACTTGTAAATTACTTGTTGAAAATTCTTTGGATGTACCAAACGTAAAAAATTCTAAATTAAAGATATTAGTAAATTGCAAAATAATATTACCATTTAAGGGTACAAATTAAACTCGAATTATTCTAATTTATTTATTAATCGTAACTTGTAAGCAAATTAAAGACGACGTCAAAAATTGCAAATTTTCAAATTAAATATCTCAGTCAATTTTGGTCACATGGGAATCTAACATTTTGTACTTAATTTTTATAGCATGTACAAACCTTCATAAATATAAGTACACGAACTGGCGAAGCCATATAAATAATTAGGTTTTGTAATTTTTACAAAATTAATTTTTTTAAATATGAAAATGCCAAAACATGAATCTTGGTGCCCTTTAACACAGTTTCGTAATTGGAAATATATGTCTACGGCCAATGGTTGCAAAAAATAAAGGCTGGGTAAAGATTTTTGTCGGCAGGGTGCATAAATCTGAATGTTGAAAAACAAAGTTTAAAAGAAGACATCACTTTATTAGAAAGAAACAGTGCTCTGATTTAATGAAGAAAATCTCTAACTTGTGATGCTATTTAGCATTGATGTATAATACTTATGAAAAATTATTAGTACTTTTAATAAATGTAATTTTGGTAACTATAGAAGAGAAGATGCGCAGTTTTGCTAGTTTTAGGAATAAAATCATATTTATGTGTTTTATTTCTTTATTTCATATCACATAATTTCTCTTAACACAATACTCTTTTGGAAACATAAAACTTAACTTTCGAGGTTACCTGTATAAGAAATCAGGTATTCTATTGAGAAAAAAAAAAAAAAAAAGAATGAACTAAAGAGAATAGAAAAAATGCCTCAGTGCAAGTTTCTCAAGCGTAGCAAAAGTGAAATTCACACCATTTTGCTTTCTTTATATTGTTACGAAATGTCCAGCTGTGCCAAGATACCTTCCCCGCAAAAGCGGAGTTAGGGTTGCCAGAAAGTGGCAAGGAAAGGTAGGGTTGTCAGCTTTAGCGCAAAATCGCCCATTTGGCGACACATTCGGCGATATACTATAAACAGAGCGAGGATATTCCAGAACGAATTGTTACCGACCCTCGGGATGTTCTCGAAGGTAGGTCAAAAGTTATACAGTGGTACCTCGATATACGAGTACCCTAATATACGAGTGTTTTGAGATACGAGCCGCAGAGCGAGAGATATTTTGCTTTGAGATGAGAGCAAGATTTGAGATACGAGGAATCGCACACTACACCGCTGCACACGACCGCGACATGAGCGCCCATGTTGGTGTCGTGTGCAGCGTCTAAAAATTTCTCCCACCTCAGTTACATGATCTACATTCGCAGCAGCATACGGTGGTTCAACGAAAAGTTAGTTTTGAAGAGGAGCCAGATATAGAGGAGGTTATCCCTACAAGAGATATAAAGGAGATCCTGGAATGAGAGAGAAAGTTGTAGAGTTCGTGGATAAAAATCATCCCGAAAAGTTGCAACTGGTCGTGCACCGGAGTTGTTCGACGAAACTTGCCTAACTCATTTCCGCAATATCTTGAAAGGGAGGAAGAAACAAACCTGGAAAGGACAGTTTTTTCTAACGATCTGCAGGTGAAAATGAGCAAAGCGTGACCGAAAAAAGCGAAGACCAGTGACAAAAATTAAGCGTTTCCGTAAGCACTTCACTTTTTCTTTTATGTTTTTATAGAATATGTATTTGTTATTTATAAATAAATCTTTCTTCTTGTGAATACATTTTTCTTATTCAAAAACACTTAACAAAAACAACTGAGGTGGTGTTTTTGAAGCTAGAACGGATTAATGGCATTTCAGTTAATTTCAATGGGGAAAATTGCTTTGAGATACGAGCAATTTGACATACGAGCAAGGTTACAAAACGAATTAAACTCGTATGTCGAGGTACCACTGTACCTACCTGTACACGGAGTATCGAGAGTATGTTGAGTTCAGAAGTAGTATCTTGAGTTCAAAGATCAGCTCGAGAGTGATCGACCAAGTCCGGAAGCTGTATTTTAGTGCTCTGCCGTAAAGCTGTCTTCACCGTTATAGCCTGATAGCCTGAGGGCTGTTTTGTTGATTATTTCAGCGTATTTATCGTAGTTTTTCGACGACTATAACGCGTCTTTGGAACTGTCCCGTGTAATACTGACGAATAAATTGTGTTCTGATTCAAGTCAGTTACTCTAAATCCACGAACACATAGAACTCAACAATATTTTACATTTCTTCTTTACAAAGAAAATCTGGAGATTACTTTAAAATTTACGGGGTGAAATCAAGTGCAAAAATAACTGATGATTTTCGCAATGGTTTAAAAAAAATTGTTCTCTAATTTGTAAAAAATGCATAAGCTTATTAGAGAGTAGTTAGTTTGAACGTGCAACCAAGCATATTATCGTCATTTCACCCCTTCAACATCAGCCAAAAAAGATGACAAATAACCATTTTCAGCATCGAAGCAAAAAAACATGGATGGAGATGTATACAATGGCAACCTGGTTGCTTCATACATTTAAAAAGAGAAAGCCAAAATAGATGGTCCTGATTCTCTTCCTCTTATACCTATTCTCGTATCTTGTCATTAGCCCAACATCATGAGCTGAAATTCAGGTGAAATCTCTTTTAACAACAAAATAATTGTAAAATACAATTTGTTTATTGAAAAAAATCATTCTTCAACGTTAGTTTCTATGTTTTAACACTGAAATCTCCAGAAGCGAATCAAGAATTTCTCACGTGTATATTTTTCAGCGCTTCACTTTTAGAGTTGTTAGTTTTTTTTTTTTTTTTTTAAATGCTTTGGAGACGTGAAAAATGTGCAATGCCCTTGCTGAGATTTAAGCTCCGGACTTCCCAAATAAGCGTCGAGAGTGGTTCCAATTACACTACGAGAAAGGCATGGAGAAAGAAGGGAAAAAATACCTAATTCACTTATATATTATGTAAACGTTCTTAAAAAACTTTTAAAATTTAGTGATTATTTGAGGAATTCTATGGTAACGTTTAATCCAACGTATTATATCGAAATCTTTCATTTTCTATTAGATGACGACAATCGGGTTGTTCTAAAAGGAGGACCAAATGGCGATTATATCAATGCCTCATTTGTTCAAGTATGTACTCAAGTGTCTTTTATTTTAAATTCTTTGCTAATGATGCTAATTCTTTGCTATTTAGTCCTTTCTAAAACGTATGAGACTGAGAAAAAATGCAGGGTGATCTGAAATTTACAGACAAAATAAAAATTCAATAAGTACGACCAAACTTTAAAGTATAGACTAAACTTTCATAACTTCATGGTCGGAAAGCCGTCAGCGTTTTATTTATATGTTAAGTAGATATTTAGTTGCAGTTTATGAACGTAAAATACCACTTTTATTCAAGTTTTGGTATTCACGAATATTTTCTGCGCTTTTTATTGTTTAGTTTATGAAACAAGTTAAAAAATATAAATTTAAGTGAATTTATGTATATATATATATTTTTGTTCGAGTTTGGAAAAGGAGGGGGAATGAGCTACTAACAATTGTGAAAGGAGGGCATGGGGCTAAAAAGGTTGAAAATCTTGGATGTAGACAGTGCTTATGACGCAGTTTTCATAAAAACACTTACAAAGAAGTAAATGATTTTATAATGAAACATTTTATTGCTAAAATAGCTACATTTTTACTTTAAATCAAAGGTGCACAGAAATCCCCAACGTTATTGTGCATATTGGAAGAAATTACTCGCCATCGTGTAATCACTCTTCAATGCTGTGCAAAGTGTCATGCAACTTCTGACAATTCTCGTAAATGAAGGCCATCATAGTGAACATTTGTAATCTTAGCTACGTTGCTGCGACGCTGTACGAACTTCTCACAGAACTGAAACACGATCTCTGGGCGAAATATGTAACTATACTGACAAAAAGGTTTTCATTATTAAAACAGCCCATACCTCTTTGTGCATTCCTATAGAAACCGCTTCATTATACTCTCTATATTTTTCGAATTATTGAATTTTCACTTTTCCTATTATTTTTGGATCACCCTGCACTTGAATGAAATAATGATTGCTACTCCAACCAATCAGATTGTCACCTGAGTTGCTATAAAATCTCAAACGTATTCTTCATATTTCAGATGAGCCTACCTCATCCGAGAAAAGCGAATCAATACATCGCAACTCAAGGACCTTTGCCTCAAACATGCGACGACTTCTGGCAGGTAATTCTAATTATGTTGATAAGAGGATAATAGTCCTCTTATCAACCCTCTTATCAACCTCTTATCAACTCCGTTTAGGAATATATACCGTATCCTACTTTTACGTAGAGATCTACGTATACCTCTACGTATACGTAGAGATATACGTATAACCTCTTATCAACTCCATTTAGGAATATATACCGTAAAGTAATGACAAAAAAATGTCACTACGAGGAATTATTCGATGATTTCTAAAACTAGTTTAGGATTTAGCAGACCGGCTGGCAACCGTAAGCTAAGGAAAAGATTTCTAAGTAGAACTTCTGAAATGTTGAGATGACTACATTAGGTAAGGTAACTAACAATATTTGTCTATATTAAGCTATATATTTAAGTCTATATTAAGCTATATATTTAAGGGTAATTGAAAAAAAAGAAGTGTTTAGGTTTTATTTGTTCTTTTTCCTACAGATTTTTAAAATTCTCAACGTTTCTTTACCTTGTGAAACAATAAATATCTATCGTGCAATTCTGCTCAACCCACACTATTTACAGTATTACCTAAGTGATAACCTGGTAGCACTTTGTTTCATTAAATCTCGTGATGGAATAGAGGCAAATAATTATTTCTTAATTTAGCTCCAGAGAAAGAATTTGCCTGGTTTTATCGATAAGGATCAAGTCGGCCATCCAGAATGAGGTGGTCAATCGAAGGTACCTTATGATTAATCCATATAACTTCCAATAGCTTCTCATAAGGCCGAGAGAAGATATTTTTACACCATATGTAGAAAACACCACATTTAAATACTATTATAATTACCTTATGTTTATTTTTAATTATAAATCGATTATCTAAACAATGTAATAAAAATGTATAATAAACTTTAGGGTTTCTTTATGTTAATTAATCAGTCATTTTATGTTTTAGATCTTGACCTTCACTTCTTCCTTCCGTTTTTTTGGCAGAATACAAATTAGTTCACGTGTGTTTAAGATGAGGTTTTGTTTAAGATGAGATTGAGGTGGTCAATCGAAGGTACCTTATGGTTAATCCATATAACTTCCAATAGCTTCTCATAAGGCCGAGAGAAGATATTTTTATACCATATGTAGAAAACACCACATTTAAATACTATTATAATTACCTTATGTTAATTTTTAATTATAAATCGATTATATAAACAATGTAATAAAAATGTATAATAAACTTTAGGGTTTCTTTATGTTAATTAATCAGTCATTTTATGTTTTAGATCTTGACCTTCACTTCTTCCTTCCGTTTTTTGCAGAATACAAATTAGTTCACGTGTGTTTAAGATGAGGTTTGTTTAAGGATGAGATTGAGGTGGTCAATCGAAGGTACCTTATGGTCAATCCATATAACTTCCAATAGCTTCTCATAAGGCCGAGAGAAGATAGTTTTATACCATAGTAGAAAACACCACATTAAATACTATTATATTACCTTATGTTTATTTTTATTATAAATCGATATATAAACAATGTAATAAAAATGTATAAAAACTTAGGGTTCTTTATGTTAATTAATCAGCATTTATGTTTAGATCTTGACCTTCACTTCTCCTTCCGTTTTTTGGCAGAATAAATTAGTCACGTGTGTAAGATGAGGTTTGTTTAAGATGAGATTGAGGTGGTCAATCGAAGGTACCTTAGGTAATCCATAAATTCCAAGCTTCTCATAAGGCCGAGAAGAAGATATTTTTACCATATGTAGAAAACACCACATTTAAATACTATTATAATTACCTTATATTTTTTTTAATATAAATCGATTATATAAACAATGTAATAAAAAAGGTATAAAAACTTTAGGGTTTCTTATGTTAATTAATCAGTCATTTTTATTTTAGATCTTGACCTTCACTTCTTCCTGCCGTTTTTTGCAGAATACAATTAGTTCAGTGTGTTAAGATGAGGTTTTGTTTAAGATGAGATTGAGGTGGTCATCGAACGGTACCCATTAATCCATAAACTTCCAATAGCTCTCATAAGGCCGAGAGAGATATTTTTTATACCAATGTAGAAAAACACCAATTTAAATACTATTATAATTACCTTATGTTTATTTTTAATTATAAATCGATTATATAAACAATGTATAATAAACTTTAAGGTTTCTTTATGTTAATTAATCGGTAATTTTATGTTTTAGATCTTGACCTTCACTTCATCCTTCGGTTTTTTTGGCAGAATACAAATTAGTTCACGTGTGTTTAAGATGAGGTTTTGTTTAAGATGAGATATGTTTTAATACAAAGCTTGTAATGTCTCTCGAAGCCCGTTACTAGGTTGCTATCTTAAATAAGATATGTAGTCTTCGGGCTTGCACTATAATTGCAGATAGCTGAATATTAATATCTCTTCAGTTTTGAACCAACTTCGCGTTAACCGTTCTTAGTAGTCTTTGGCTAAATTAAACTTTACATTTGGCTTGCTGCTACTTTTAGTTATATCACGACAAATGGTTGGCTGAGCTGTAAGCACCAAGTGTGACTTCTGCTCTTATTTACTTTTAAATAAATGTTCTTATAGACCTTTCTCAAGTTTCAGTTGCTGCTTTAGATTTGGCGATAAGTCGCTTAACGTCTATCAAGAGTTTGACCACTATTATTGATTGCAAAACACGCCAAACATTATAAACTCTTAATATTTACATTAAATTAGTTTTTAACAAATAGTTCAACCACAAGAGTAGCGCGTATGAGCAAAAATACGCATGCGTCGCTTGGACCAATTTATTTATGAAATAGCAATTTGCGAGGGAGAGATGAAATCCATTGAGTTAGAATATTTTACTCCTCAAAAATGAGGTTTTATAGCTAAGAAGGCCTGTTGGCGGAATCGAAGTGTTTTGGAAGAATAAGAACTAAGGTTGTATTATCGGTGATCAAATCTGGAGATAAAGTGAAGTTTAAGATTCACAGAGTATCTGACCATCAAGTCCGTCCCTTAATTTGGAGCTGACGCTTCATAGATATAATCATTATTTGACAATTATTTGACACTTCATTTGACACGAGAATGAATGGAAATCAAAAGCATTCCTATGGCTACAAAGCTATACAAGATATAAAGGGCTCTATTATACAAGTCACACACATCAAACTTTCAAAAATTGTGGAATTTCCAAAATGCTTGTTAACGGCAAATTACTTCAATGGATGGCATCTCAGTGGATGACAGAAGTCATATATCACTTGAAATATCAGCTGCAATTTATGCTATTAGCTTAAAAAAATTTGTTTGATGCACGATTGAGATGAGTGTTTCCCAAGAAGAATGAATTTTTATGATCAGCCATTACTTCGCTGTGCATAACGATGCCATCTTTTTCTCACTCTTATTTAGTGGCTTTAACATTTCATTCCTGACTTAATCCATTTTGTCTAAATTCGGGAGGGACAGGCGCCCACTTTCTTTCTTATAGAAAAATTTCCAATTTCTTGGAAAATAGTCACCAAGCGGAAAATTATTCGGTTATTGAAATTCTCAAATATTTGAAGAGGTGTCTTTGAACCCTTTAACAATTTTTCCGTAATATGCGCTACGAAGACATGACAGTTATAAAAATGTTCTGTTGCTGAAAAAACTCTTCTTTGTCTTATACCGAACAAACGGCTTTTAACGCTAACAACATAAAGTGCATCTGAGTTTTCATGTGATATATTACTTGCAACAGTATGGGGGGTATCCATCTAAACAATTTGTCATTACTATGCATTTTTAAATTTCCTCAACTTTTGGAAGTTTGATGTGCACTGCTTCTGGATCACCCTATCAAACAGATGTTTACCTTGTCTGAAATATCGAGAGTTTTCAACGTTTGTAAAGAGCTCTGTACATACGTTCTACGCTGCTGTTCAAAATATCATCCTGTCCCTCTCTTTAGCATGAAGTGGTGTAGTGAAATCCAGAAGACTATTATGAGTCCTGTTGCGCACGGCTAATACAAATGATTAACCAGATTTTGAAGTTTTGCCAAATTAATGGATCGCATGTTTTTTAAATTCCTACTATTAGCTCACACTCCTACTGTTAGCCCACACTACCTATATCTGTTCAAATTATTCAAATTTTCAATCGTTAATAAAATACTTTTTATTCCTCCACTCAAGTTTCAAATACATTTTTTAAACTTCTAGTGGATGACACTTGATGTTAATACATTTTTTCACATTGTTTTCACTTTAATTTCTTTCACATTTCACAATTTTTTCACTTTAATTCCTTGATTCGGATATGTCACCTTGAGTCACATGAAATCATTAGATGGAATATTAATTGAAGAACTGGACTGCTCAAAACTCATTGGAAAGGTTCCTTGCAATAATGAAGCATTGCAAGAGATGGGTAGAATGAGAAATTATAGACCACCATCAGCGTCATAAATTAGAAACGAAAAAAATGTTAATAAAAAGTAACTAAAAAAATTTTTTTCTTTGTTTACCTAAGTAGGAATTGACTTTAATTTTTTATTTTTTAATTTTACTTGTTTTTATAGTCACATAACGAAAGAAAATATCCTAAATTTTAAACCCGCTTGTGCAAACTTTCTTATGACATATCACATAATACGTATCATTATCAAAATGGTGAGTTTATAACAGAAAGCATTTGAGGTTTCAGAGAATTCAAAACGTTTATCGATTATTAATGTGTAACTTACATTTCGATACAAATATAAATAAACCACTAAACTAGAAGCTCCAACGCGTTAGTATTGACTCCCTGATGATTGATGATATTTTAAAGGGAGTCAAAGCTGATATGGGGGGGGGGCGATAGCAAAGTATGCAGCGGCAACTGATCAGCATAATCAAGACTGCATTGTCTGCAACAATTATTAATAAAACTGATAATTAATTCCTTATTGCCATACAGCTATACCATACCGAGAGAAATTCATTCGTAACACAAAGGTATGCTAAATTTTGGAATTTAAAAATCATTCAAGGGAAATTACCTAAAATTAAAGTTGTTGTCGCACCCATATTACTGCCGTTTTCCTCTTCTTACCTAATGGAAGTCAGCTTTATTCAAGTCAACAGTTTGCAATGAAAAACAAGAAATGGGGTGAATAATTTTGAACGTGGTGATTTAGGAATTAAGCAGTTTTATGTAAAATAGTATGAAAACTGCATCAGTATATCAAGTCCACATATCACATTCATTTAAATAAAAAAATAAGGATAATGGGGAAAAATGAAAGCTTTCAGATTTTATATTACGCCCAAAGGAGCATTTTTTTCATTTGCACACACATACACTTTTCGAGAGCATTTGAGCTAACGCCTCTTTGGGCTAAAAATATTTTTAAAAATAACATATGTTTAGAATTTACGATAGACAGTTTCGCGCGCTGGAGATAAAAATGTTTTATCTCCAGCGCCACTGCTCGCTTTGAAATCGTTAATTTTTTTTAAGAAAAATTCGTTAAAGATTTACAAAATATGAAATAAATAACAAAACAAATTCGAATTTAATATTTGGGCTTCCATGTGCCCATATTCGGTTGGAGGACTGCATTATTCAAAATTTGATGGCTCTAGATACCGTTGTGTTTTCACAATGCGAGAAACATACGTACATTCACGCTGATTTTTCATTATTTAATTTCTTTAAATATAATACAGGGCGATAATATTGGGTGGCAACAATCTGAAAAGTGATTCAACGCCTTTAGTGATTCGACGCAAAATGCCGTTTCGAGACTAATGGCCCCTTTGGGCTAAAAATAGCATAATTAAACATAAATCTAATAAACCTTATTTTTCAAAACTTTTTTCACTGTGTTCAGTTTAATTCTTATTTCCTTAATTGCATTGTGATTATGTTATATTCTGTGTAACACAGTAAAAAAAGATTAGCGAGTCGATAAAGAAAAGGGGTGTTAAAAGCAGTCGATGCAAAAAAAAGGGTTGAAAATCCTTACACTAGAGTATTCTGCGATGGTATAGACAGATGAGGAAAAAAACTGATTCCAGTGTACAGCCAAGACTTCCGGATACCACCAACGGTTTTTAAAGAACACGAAGAAAGCTAGAGATAGTCCTTCACGTATACACAAAATCTGATGTGTACACCACATGATTCCGTGACGAATATTAAGTAGCGCATTTTTCTGCATTTATTTAAACTTATTCGAGTGAATTAAAACCTACTTCGCGACAGGCATAAAACCACAAAGAATAATGAATTCTTTAAAATTAATTTGTTTACCATAGCGACACTGCGCTATGTTTTACTTAACAAATATAGTTCATTCAGTTATATCCAGAATGCACAAAATATACATAAAGAATATCTAATCGTTGCCACATGTTCTATTAAAATACTAAATAAAGCTAGAACGATGTCTTCAAGAATTAAGCAAAATAAACAAAACGAAACAGTTTTTCAGAGACGATTGGTATTTCTCATTTAATTAATCAGTCTCACTTCCGCGAAGGCAAAAAATACATAAAAACTAAAATATCATATTAAAATACGAAGTAAATCTCAAACCTTCTTCTCGAAAAAATCCAGAAAGAATTAAGAGAGTTAAATGGCAATAATAAATGAAGAGTTCTTGTTGTTGCGAAGCTAAGTTTCTCGATTGGCAACAAATCACTAGTCTCGTTCAATGTAAACTCATGGCGGCATAAAACCGGCTTAGCGGCATTAAACACTTTAAAAATGTGATAAATTCTAAAATATGCACAAGATTACTAAAGGATAAAATCCTTAACGGAAGTAAAAAAACATAATTATCAGTTTTAAGCAAAAAGTACAATTTACAAAATATAAGAGTAAAGAACTGAGATCACTGAGCCGGGAATAGAGGGTATAATATAATTATTTATAAGTTGGTGTGCGATGCAACCAAATCGAGGTGCACATCTACTGTTACGCAGCCAATACAAATTTCAACTTGAGCTACTCGTTTTTGAGTTATGCGAGATCCGTAAATAGTTGTACAGACGCCACGAAAATTCTCTGAGAATTAATTTTAAAGCGTTTATAATTTTTTTTTTGGGAAAAAGTATTATTCGTCTTACGTCAGATAGAGCAAAATTACTCGTTAAATTGCATTCGATGCGTCAAAAGGAATTTTTCGTTGAAATGCTGCTGAAACTTTCGCGCTACATATTCCTTTTTACTTCGTACAAGGAAGTAAAAAACAACAAACCGCTCTTGGGGATACTTGGAATTCCACGGCGAAATATTTAAACGATTTTGGCCACCAGGATCTCCTGATCTTAAGCGTTTTGAAACCTTATATTACTTTCCGAATTTTTGGCTCAGTCAGGAGTATGATAATAAAGGATTTTAGTTTGGTAAATGTATCGAAAAAGCAAATTTTTATTTGTTAGGACACAAAGGAAAACAGAACTGATTTTAACCTCTCATTTACAGATGGTATGGGAACAGGAGTGTGGCCTCATTGTGATGGTTACAACTTTAAAGGAACGAAATCGGGTGAAGTGTCATCAGTATTGGCCAGAGCTGTACCAGACAATAGGAGAAGACTTACAAGTGACTTGCTTCAGTGAGACTACATCCTCAACCGGAATCACAAGAGATTTCTTGATCTCTCATCAAAAAGTAACGTAATGTTCAATAAATTCAGTAATATCTTTTTCCTTCTGAAATTTGCAACCGGCGGCGAAGAAAAAATATGCTAGCAGTTAGGGATAATTTTGCAATAATGTCAACAATTTTGAAATGATTTGTTTAATTGCCAGTTACTTCTTTTTCTTTTACTTTGTGTATGCCTAAATTTGAATATTACACATGAAAGAGGAAACTCTGTAAAAGCAGTTTGATTACAATGTACACAAAAAATTCAATATTTAAATATGCAACAGAATGTCTTTAAAGAATGATCCGCAGATCCTTGATATGTCACTCAGTTCCAGTAAAGGTTCTGCGAGTGACGAAATCAATTTTTGAAACCACGTGAGCCACCAAAGTAACTAACTAAAATAATTAATTAAATAACATTTCATACTTCTGTTGTTATTGTTACCTAAAGTAATATTAACAAAATAATCAAATAATACTTTTCTTTTCGTTTTGCGCATAAAGTGCAAACAGCAACTGATCTGAGATTATATTTTCAATTTTTTTTTAATATTTGTTTTTCTGAGGATGGTAAAGTTCCACAGGAAAAGAAAATTCTAGTTTTGAGGGTTTCCCGAATTAAAAAAATTTGAAAAATCATTGCAGTAAAGGAAAAATTTCGTTTTATAAGACAATCTGTGAAATTAGTTCAACCTTTGTTTTATTACAAAACGCAAACTATTCTTACAGTGAACCACTAAAAAGGTATTATTTAAATTAATACCATATATGCACTAATATTGTAGTCTGTTTTTCAATCAATTTACCTTTCCTAGTTCCTTTCTGTCAACTAAAATCTCATAACAGATTCGCATATCTTAAAGTGATCAATGACAAAATTTTCTTTTTGTTTTACGAATTCAGAAATGGAACTGTTTGATTTTTAGCTGATTTTCCCTTGAAAACGCCAATTTTGAAAAGATACGGAAAGGTAAAGCATTCAGATTATGCAAAAATGCGCCTAATAGTGTATTTAAGAATATAGAGTATTATCTTAACAAATCACCGACTATGTGCATTATAGCTTCTATATGCTATGAAATTGTGCATTTTTCCTACCATAATAGCTTTTATATACTACGAAATTTTGCATTTCACTGAGCAAAGTGTTCTCATATTAAGTCTTTAATTTAAGCATCTATAACACTTGGAATCAGTTTCATATTAGAAATTAATGATTAGCTTTTGTTTAATATAACTTACCAAATAAATTGCATTAAATTAAAAACAATCACCCAGTTTTTGCGAGTTATATCAAAACATATAAAATAATAGCTATTTTATCAGTAGTCAGCAAACTTTGTAGAATTCGAAAAGTTATAAAACTTTTTTTTTTAATTTTTTTTTAATTTTTATTTTCTACTGTTTTTAACAAAATCAATTTGTGTATAATTTTAGTAAAATTCATTGAAAATGTATCATCTATTGCATGCCTTTTACGTGGAAAATGAAACCAAAATAGTTCTCTCATTATCATTTTATTCATAAAAAGAAATTTAATTCGTATTATTTTAGTTAACAATAACAGGAGAAATGAAAGTATGTTATTTAACTAATTATTTTAGATTGCTAATTTTTGCGGTCTACGTGGTATTCAAGACAACTATTTGAAGAGCAATAACTTTCGCTTGCACTTAGTAAAAGTTTCAGAACGCTCTATGTAAAGTTCTGCATAAGGTTTTATGTTTCTAATAAATAGAAAATTTGCATGCAGTTTCATGTCCATAAATTTTATTTAAATGCATCATATTTTGTTTAAGGTTGGATATTATTATGATAAATATAAAAAACATACTTAAAGCCTTATTTTATATTTATATTTAATGCAATGTGTTATTAAGTAAAAGCGGTGATACTTCTGATCAATCGATAGCATATTTACTGACAATTAGCTAATATATTTAAGAACTTAATCTGTTTTAAATATTTCGGAACAATAATTAATCGAATATAATTGACCAATTCTAGGAAAAAGTGGAGCGTCACGTAGTCCAGCTTCAATATATCAACTGGCCTGATCATGGAGTTCCACAAGATTCCACAGATTTTCTAGAATTCGTCCATCAACTAAGAAATCTGAGACGAGACATCGGAGGAACTGTTGTGGTTCACTGTAGGTGAGTTACTTTCAACGCAAAAGAATAAAACTACTGTATTTAGGGCATTTCAAAGATATAGAAATGTTTCACGTGCCTAGAATTGCCATATCACTGTGATCAAAAACTATGAGGAATGATTCCATAATATATATAAAATTTCATTTTATTGTTCAGTATTTATCATATCCCTTTCAAAATAAATCTCTCCGTTTCCAATGAACGATAATATATTTTCCAAAACTCGAACCAACTTTTAAAGTCGTTTTCATAAATTCCTTCAGTACTTGCAGCAAATTTTCTTTTATTACATCTGTAAATTCAAAATAGTGATTACGATATAGATGTAGATGTAATTCGTATTAACTTCTGAATATATTTAGTAAGCAATTTTTTGCATGTGCACATTTCAAATGAATCTTTCCCAATCATTTTTATTACTGTATATTAATCTGAAAGTCCATTCTTATATAATGAGGCTTTCTAGTTATTATATTGCGTATACAAATATATTTGATTTATTTCCTTAAACTAGAACAATGCATCTACGATGAGACACTCAAAAGATATTTAATCCTGAAAATAATTTGAAATATTTTGTGTACACTTGATCATATGCAAAAAAAATAACAGAGAGTTTAACAGTATTTTTAATGACAATCTAACTGAAAGGTCTCTGTGAATTCAATCATAATTCTTATTGAAGTAGTTATGTCCCATTTTAGGCTTTTCCAATTTAGACCTTTTCTAAAAATCGTCTCGTTTCACGCTTTCTAGATGCAGTAGGTAAATAGATCTTCCATTTCAACATTCCATTCAAATACAAAGAAAAATGTGATCCGAGATTAGTAGAATTCATTAGAATTTATTCTTCTCCTCATACCTTACCACCTCATCTCATCATCACCCTTCCTCCCAGCCCTTCATTTTTTAGAAAGAATAAAATTTATAAGAAAACTGCGCTGTTTAAAAACATTCAACCCAAATACTGTGAATGCCTAAAATATACTGCCCATCTATATCCCCATTCCACCTCACCACATCCCCATCCTCCTTCTCCCCTTTCCAAACCTCCTCATCTCTCTAATCAAATCTTCAAATTCTTCTAAAGCAAAGAATAAGAGAGTTTTTTCGCTAATCCACATATAATGGCCAATAAGTAGAATATATTTAATGTAGAATTAATGCAGTCAGTCTCACTCATACAGTAACTCACTACAGTTTTCAACTTCGAATTTTTTTGAGGTGTGAGGATTATTTGTCAATGAAAACAAAAACATCCTTTATGATGTGAAAGAAAAGCTGAAACTGTACGACTTCAGATGTTCCCGTCGTGAACCCTTGAAGAATAAAAGGAAGTGCATGAACTGGCACGGATTTTGCTTCGCTTCTAGAAAGCTTAATGTGGGGAAAGTAAAAAATGGGACGGCACGATTGGAATAGTTGCGGAAAATAGTTAAGAATGTTTTATGAAAAAAATTTTCTTTTCAGTGCCGGTGTCGGACGGACGGGTGTTCTGATTCTGATGGAAACTGCTCTGGGATATATCGATGCAGATGAACCTATGCAGCCACTGGAACTAGTCAAACAAATGAGGGACCAGAGAGTAATGATGGTTCAAACTGTGGTAAGTATGAAGCTTCAAACTTTAATTCTTTTATACAAACTGGAGACGATATCTGGTTTTTTAAAAAAGGCTTTATTTCTTTGAATGCTTCTATACATACAGTAGTATCATGCATCGGTGGATAATATGAAGATATATAATAGCTATTTGAAACTGCGGGTGTAAGGAACATTATATGAAACAGTATATTCGTACACCATGCATAATTAATCTCACATACAGAATACGATAAATCATATATAATTACAAACATAAAATAATATAATAATAAATTATGTGCACAGCAATTCATTACAGTACTTCATAACTAATTAAGACTATGTAAAATAAATTGGTATCGTAGAGTGTACATTAACTTATATTCTTTTTTGTTTCGCATAACAATAAAAGTGACGAATTTTATGGCAGTTTAATTCAATCCGCAATAAACGAGCAAGAGTTGAAGGTATTCTTATACTTTGTAGAATAATATACCCTCTGAAAGGTTGGTAGAAATCATAATTGCTTATTTATTAGTCCTAATAGCCCACTAGTAACATCATCAACTCCAAGTTTAGGGCCGTTATTGTAATTAAAAGGAAACTTTAAGGCATAAATGAGTTGCGACATTACGTTGCTACCGAGAATAGGGAGAATGTTAGATGCCAAAGTAGAAAAAAAATTAAACGATATTGGGTATAAAAAGCAATAGTTAAGTGACACACTCTGAGCAGTGATAGTCAAGATCAAGATCATTCATTATTGCCTAGGCCCATAGAGCCCGAACTTAGAACCCATGTTTTAGGGAACACCAAAAACATCCTATAACTCCTCGAAACTCTGTTTTTCTCTGACAAAAACACAGAAACTGAGCGTTGAAGATCCTAAAAGACCTCTATACCTAGAGCCCTAGACTGTCTTAAATGGATCTTGTTCGAGTTGTAATGTGAGCTCAAAGTTTGTGGGGTTTCCTGGAATCTTACATAAAATTCCACATTGAACATTTTTCATTCCCCGTACTCAATTACTTTGACGGAAATGATCGGGCATATGGGTGAGGAAGATATAGTATTAAAATGTTTGAAAACTATTTCAGCTTTGCTACAGATCGTTGCCATTTTGCTTGCATTTCGAAACTTAACGGTATTCGTTTTCTCGCTCTATGACGGATAAGTGAAATCACATGCACGAATTTTTTAAACAATATCTTTTTGTACGTTTACCGTAAAGTAAAAATTCCAGTTAGTAAAACCATTCATTATGTATTAATTATTTGAGAGAAAGAAAAAGAGTTTTATACCTTTACAAGCAAAATTCACAGAAATATTTCACAGTTCATTTACTGACGTAAGTTATTTTTCATGCCTGTTATCGATTTAAGTTCAGCATGCTTTAAAAAGCAAATTAAGAGAACATCTACTTCTTTTACTAGTTAATAATTCCATCGTGCTTAAAGTAGCGTCGTGGTTTAATTCATAGCTCGCTTCAACCAAGACTCAAAACTTATTTTATAAGTATTGCATTTTAAAAGTAGTTTATCAATTTTGTTGAAACAGTACGTATTAAAATTTTTATTGATATGTGCATTTTATGTAATTTTCCACTACGAGTGTTTCATTTTTCTGTAAACATAATTAAAATCCGCACTACACCCCGTCATGGACTACTGGCATAGTCCTTCTCCTTTAGAATTGTCTGCAAACATCTTTTCAGTAAAATAGGCTTGAGTCCAGATTTCCACATCCATAGTTTCAAATATTACTGCAAGTTATCTGACAAGCAGAAAATCTTCAAAGTATGCATCTTTTGCATTGACTCGAGCCCTACTCTGAATGAAGTTCATTCTCAAATTCATGTTCAAGTTCATGATTCGCTTCATTGTATAGTTTTCCAGAAACAATTTTTAGTAATTAATTAACAGTAGTTAAGTCCTAAATTCCGGACTGCATGAACAAAATCAATAGCCATTTTCTTGTTCAGTTTTCGCTCTTTTGTTTGCAACTATTGATTCGAAAATCATTATCCTCTTCAACTTCTCCGTTCGAACTTGCTCGCTTATTTATGAACGATATCTTCAGAAAAAGAGGCATACTCATCACACAGTTGCTAATAAAATAATGTCACATCGATCCTTAAATCTACTAATTCACCCATAACAAATTTTGATGCCCCGACGTTTTCAAGTCCACTTTACAAATGTTCTGGCCACTATCGGAATGAGCATAGACGTCGAGCCGTGAAAATGGTACTTTTTCATCGCTAGATATGTGGCAGAACGTAACTTATTCCAATACTGCATCTTCGTGCTGGAGATTTTCTTTTTTGCTCTTAAACAACAAAAGTTGCTACTGAACGGTTAAAGATTGCTGATTACAGGTAGTTCGTTCTGACGAACGGGCTGGATGCATGGTTAGTTTGCATGGTTTCCCCCCATATGTAATGTCAATACGAGCCAATTTTTCTTTGGAAGTGGTCCACAAAGGCAACCCTTCCCTTAGGCAAATAACCCTTGTATGTTTTGTGATATTAAAATAACCAATCACTTTGTTTTTGAAGCATTCGAAAGCATTCAGATTATTCCTCTGTATTCTGCAAAAACGATTATGTTTTTCTTATGATTATCAGCTGCTTCAATATAAATTATTGTTTGTTTCACTAGCAGAGCTGTACACTTTACTCCTATGTTATATGCGCACCTTAAAATATTGCTAAGAAATCTCTGCCTTAAATGAGCCTCGAAGAGAAATATAGCAAAACGGTTATTAATGAAAAAATATAAAGGAATCGATTCTTCTTATGATAAAGACCTGTAAAGAATAAATATATGCGTACAGTTTGCATTTCCAAAGCTACTTAAGTGAGGACTTAACACACATGCTCGGAATCATTATAAATTATATTTCCTGCAGTTTTATCAGCTGATCAGTCGGATGTTAAGTCATATTTCGGAAAATTTCTTTCTCAGTGGAAAAACAGGAAGCGAGGAAAATCTTTTTCTCTCTCCTTAAGTTCTCGGTTACAAAAGATAAATTTACTCATTCGTCATTTTTAAACGAACTTTGAAATACTTTGGAATTAATCAGGGCATAAATGAAATGGAAAACGTATAAATCGAATGGACAAATTTGAATTTTGCTATATATGAAATTTTACTTTTATTTTCTTATAAACGTAAAATAGTCCTGCTTTTTAGTTTTTATCCAACCGAAATTTTATTTTTCTTACAAATGGAAAAAACATTATTCGAATTTCTTATGAGATAACTATGGTACAAATGTATATCTAAGGTAAATATTTGTGGAAATAAAGCTTTTAGCAACCTATCTAGAAAACCTTGTATACAAACGTAATTATTAATTATTATTTATACATTATTAAATGTATGCTGTGAATAAGTTAGTGAGATCATTGATTATAAGAATATACTTTATTTCAGGTTCAATACAAATTTATATGTGAAGCCATCCTTAAAGCATACAATGGTAAGAAAACTTCATCTTAATCAATACTTTTTCGGTTAGTAATTCTTCAAAGAAAACAAAAAAAATTTTAATTGGTTTTATTTAATTAAACTTTTGTAACTCACTTGGTTAAGAAAGACTCTCTGTGAGATGAATGACCCTGAACGTTAATCCCTTTGATATGGGGAAAGAGTCTCTTACCCAAAACAATTATTACCTCAAAAAGTTACTGCGAACTACCTACAAAATTTAACACATTTAAACATTTCTGTCTAACTGATGACGGAGTATAGAAACAAAACTTACACTGCTTATAAATTAAGGTAATATGACGAGTATGTTGATATATAAAAAATATTCTTACGCTCAAAATATTTGCGCAAAATGTTCGTAAGGCTATGTGAAACATAAAAAAAATATTACTTAAGAACGCACATACTTGTGTTTTTTCCCTAGAGTTTTGCCGTTTCTGAGAGCATTGTCGCTTTTGCGTTCGCGGACACTTAAAAGCTTCGTTCAGACCGAATGTAAAAATATCATAACTGGTTTAAGCCGAGCTTCGTTGCTAGGCAACCAGACCTTGCTACGTCACAAAAACTGGTTTAGGGCCTTTGGCATAAAGTTCAAAGTTTCCAACTTTACGCCGACTTGGTATAAAAATAAACCAATCAGAGCAAACGAACGAAATTTGAACGGGAAAACAGAGAGGGAAAGCTGTAGACACAATCCCACGCGTGCGCAAATTGAACTTCTTTAATTGGCTACGCCTTAGCCAATGTCTTGCAGGTGTGAACGGAATCCCGCATTTTATGCCTTATGACTGTGCCTCTATGACATTTATCCCACCGTCTAAACGGAGCCTTAGCTGTTATTTAATCGACACGTCCAGTTAACAACCAGTACGTTTATCCGGTACGTTTAGTGCATGCATTTAGACTGCGATATGAGTAAGTGTTTGAATAAAACAAGAAGTTTTATGGGTAAGTACCGCATTTGTCTCTGTTTGATACTAAATATAGAAGAAATAACTAAAAATATTCTTTTCAAGTAATAAAACAAGTTGAAAAGGAATTTAATGAATGCTAATGGCTTACAAATAATTGAAAACTTCCGATTAACCGAGGTTGAACAGGTACGGTATCCATGTTTATCTCGAAATCAAAGTTAATCGAACGACAATTAAAAAAAACACACACACACAGGAAAGAGGAACAACTAATATTGTAATTAACAGAAAACTATTAACAATTTATGTGCATTTTCATCCGATCTGTAGACTAAACTCATTTAGTTCCGTAAATTAAATCAGTACTTAAAACAAAAAGTATTTAAAAAAAAAAAAACTGAAAGAGCTCAGATTTTAACGATTGCCCAAAAGGATTTTTTAAGGTTTTTTATGCTCTTGCTGAGCTCTCAGTATACCAGTCTGTTGTTGCACTCACTCCTGCTAGCTTTATTATTAAGCACTATTTTCTTACGCCATATACAATTCAACAACAAAATAACAAAGATTTTAAAAGCAGCATAGGATGTTTAGTATTTCCGATGCAGTACCATACGCTATTCTAATTTTTTCCAGTCTTTTCTCAGTTCATCATATCAATGTTCAGTTTTCGTAGTAAGATGGCTTACAACACAGTTTATGTGTCTTTTTATTAGCAACGTTTTGTGTGTTAACATTATTTACCAGAAATCATATTTTTCGCACTTACGTGACATAAACTTCAGTTCAACAGCAAAATCATAAAACACATATAAATGACATTATATCTTATATTTTATTCCATACAAGGTTGCCACTGTTCGCTTTCAAGTCATTGATTTGTTCATCAAAATTTGATTATTATGTTTTACAAAATATGATGTTCGGATTGAGAAGAACATCGTACGTAGTTTTACACAATACGAGGAGCATACATACATAGATGCAGATTCTTCATTATTTAATTTTTTTAAAGATTATACAGGGCGATGGTATTTGGTGGCAACAATTTGAAAAGTGATTCGCCGTTTGTAATGGCCGATGCAAAATCCCGTTTCGAGACTAATAGTTCATTCTCGCAAACGCCGTTTTGGGACATCACTAAGAAATGAAGAAGTAAGTTAAAAATGATTATGACAGCATCTGATATTCCAGCTGTTACCCGACGCATATTTTCGTTTCTGTGCTTTCCCCATAAGCCATTTTGTTTCCACAGTTCCATGATAAATAAATTTCTTTTAGACAGAAACCAGTTTATCAGCAACTCCATTAATAGATAGCTAAATGGAGATAAAAAAATTTAGCTGGCACGTATGTTCATGTATATTTCGGCTGCACGTAAAAATTTCGAGAAGGGTCGAAAATCGTAATACGAGATGGCACTTTCTCGCACATATACATCCATGGAGGTAGGAAAGCGAGGAGGGGCCATTCCGCGCTAGAAGTGAAGCACTGCTTTAAAGCTTGGGTCACCAGACGGGGTGTTCTTTGTTTACATTCAGAAGCTCGCTTGACAAGATTCTGATAGTATTTCGACACACGACAATTCCATAGAAATCGAAAAAGGGACACTCTCGCATGAAAGAAACATTCATAGTGTGATGGATAATAGCGATTTGTATAGTTTACTGACATTTACGCAAAAATCACATCTTGGTTATTTTCGATAACTAACCAACAGCGATTTTGATTATGAATTTGTTTTTAAAATTCTAAGCAGTGCACTACAAAAATATAGATTTTAAGAAAATTGCTAAAAGAGATCTGCCAAAATTTATTTTCTAGAAGATTTGAAAAGTTTGAAACTTGATGGCTACAGTAATATAAAATTATGTATGTAAAATTTTGTAATTAGGCACATAGGTCAGATTAAGTTTTTATTAAATAGAGTAACGCATGCAAGGGCTATCTGCCTAAAGGGAGAGATGCCATCGTGGAGGAATTTTGATTAAAAACTTACTTTTGAGTGGGTATTAAAAATAATGCGTTCAATTTTCATTCAAATTTTATTTATACATATTTCTTATGTAAAACTTTCGGGTATATGTTAAATTAGTAAAAATTACTTTACTTCAAAAGTATAGTGAATGCACAGAAATTAAAAATTTGCACAATGCCTTGAAATGAATAAATATGAAAAATGTATGGGAATTTATGCATTGTACTTGCAAAAAGGATGTATCTGCCTTTAACAAAATACGTAAATATTCATTAAATTATTTATAAATGTATTTGAAATGAAGAATTTATTCACTTATAAACAACTGTGAAAGTACTGTGAAGAAATCTAATGATTAAATGTATCTAATTTATAATGATTATAAATGTTATCTAAATATATAATAACCTTAATATTGAATTGTAAACATAAATTGAAATCCTATTGATAAATACGTTATAAAACTATTTAAGCAAGAATTGTTCGTATTGGAAAGCAATCTGTTAAAAGGTATTGTAAAGCAAATGCTATGAGATGCGCACTTAAGGACGTAATAAAGAGTTTTGGAATATGTATTGTTGAAATGAAGGGTAAAAAAAAATCTGATAAGTATAATTAAAGAATTATTCCCTTTACATTTATAATAACTCAGTTACAAGTTTTAAATAATACTTAAAAAAAAAAAAAAAAAAAAAAAAAAAAAAAAAAAAAAAAAAACTTATTTATTCCCTTTCAGAAATGTTCAGAGAAAGTCAAATACTATTAATACCTATTTATTATATAGGAATTAGCGAAATGCTTATTAAAGTATTTCGCTAATTCCTAATAATTCTCTTATTTAAAATGAACCGAATAGAGAATTAATTATAAATTGACTTACATTTTTCGATTTAAAAGAAGCCAAAAAATCATGTCATATTTAAGAAAGTATTTTAGGAAGAAGCTCTATAAATAGAAAAGTAATAATGCATAATTTTAATATTAATAATACAATAAACTTTGATCTTAATTTTTGTACCTTAACCGAATAAAATCGAATTACCTTAATTTTTTTTCTAATGTAATTAACGAAAACTTGTGAAAATATTTCATTCAAATTAAACCATTCTGAGAAAACTGTCCTGTGAAAAGTATAGCATTTAATTCCGTTCAGAATGAAATGTTGTTTTCACATACTTAGGACTCTGAAGTGTTGTAGAAAAAGAAAATATATACATTTATATGTATATTTGCGACGTAATTACAAAATATTTACACCCGAACGCGTCAAATCCCATAGAACTCAATGGTAAATGACCCAATGTTTTGGTCACCACGTAGGGATCGCCGGTGCTTCAGAGCAGGGTACGGAGAAACTTGTTTAGGGCGACTCCATCTTACTTCCTACCTCCATGTATACATCAGAGGGGGGAAAACAGGTGGTTTACAAGCCTTGTCAAGAAGATAAATTGTTTGGTGTAATACATATGTTTCAGGAGCCAAACTATTTGGTGTAATACATTTGTTTCATCAAGTTTATAAAAGTTAGAGTGTGAAAGATGTTTTCTAATAAGATTAATTTTACTAAAATGCTTTAACCGGTTTCTCATGCCGACTACACAGCATCGGCTAAACGTAATGTTAGCTAAATATCTTATCGGCTATTTAGTCGACTAAGAGTCATGAATCCTTTCTTCTGATATCTGTCATCGATTTGTGATAGCTTTTGAATAGCTTGAATTCGCTGAAAATGTTAACCCTACAAAATCAACTGCCTTCGTAAGAAAGAACAGGCAATTCAGACGATGAAAAATTCGGTGAATAAGGTGATTATAGGATAATAAAATATCTGTTTCTGATTTTCTTTCTTTTTTTAAAAGTTTTTTTGCTGTGATACTGTTTGCTCACTTCCCACATTTCTTCTGCAGAGGTAAGCTGACGCCTTCTGACAGCCAAATTTAACTCCAGATTTTTCCCCAGACGTGACTTTTCCATAAATTTGTTGAATACTGGAGTATTACTAGTCAGACGCACCCGATCAAAAATTGCTTTAAGAACTACCATCTGATCGCTATCAACCTATTGTCCATACCTGCTTCTATAACTCTAAATTCCTAAGGTATAAAAAAGAAGTTTAGATTACTGCATCACACAAACTGGTGATATCTTTTACATCCGAAATGGCCATTTTAATATTTGACTTATAATATCTGAAATTACCGGAGCACCATCATTAAACGCTGCTGACGGTGAACGGATTTTGTTATGCTTAAAATTTCGAATAATACATAATAGAATTATATATTGTGCTAATTAAATTGTTTGATATCAGTGATATTCTCTTTTAAGACAGATACAAGAGGCCAGCTAAGCCCGACGGACAAGTAGAATTCACCTAGCCAAGCACCCAAGTCTTTCCAATGTGAATGTGAATGCCCCATCGTCCTTCATCAAGTTAGCAAGTTTATAAAAGTTAGAGTGTGGAAGATGTTTCCTAATAAAATAAATTTTGTATGCTTGAATATATTAAACATGACTCGTAAATTTATTGAACTTTCCATAGCAGCTTAATACATCAACTTGCTTTAATGTAATTGGCACTGACATTTAATAATTCTCAAACGGCACACCCGATAATGAGGCAATTTTTTCACCGATATTCCTACTGTAAGTTAGACTACTAAGTTATTCCTATTGGAATTTCATTCGGCTAATTCTAACTCTTGTTATGTTGTCTCCGTTGTCAACCAGTGTGTATAGTTTAGACCAGTTATTGTAATACTGGTCTAATTAAAATATTAATTGAAAATTATAATATAGATATCAATTGAAAATCGTTACTCGAAGCAGTTACTTCGTGTTCTGTCCCCCGTTTTCTGTTAGTTCAAAATTTCCTTTTTGTAACTCGTTTGCTGTCTTTAGTTATTTATAATGTTTCAAAGCTTGCTTAAGAATGTTGGTGAGAAAATAAAAAGGGAACCCGTGACTTCGCAGTTTATCAAAAACTTCTTGGTTGGAATTACAATTCTGCTCAGAAACTCAGAAGCACCACACCCGGGTTTCAGTGAACTCCCTCTGAATAGTAGAAATTGAACTAATTCAAGGGATAATAGAACTATAAATCATTCTTTTTTCACCCTACTAATTAAACAAAACGGCTAACGTTGCCTAAGAATGTTAGGAACTGGCTGAGAATGAAGAACAAAATTTTAATAGCAAACCGTCGCTTCGAAAAGAAAGAAAAATTCAAACACTTCCTTATAAGGTATTTCTCCCACCTTCCTAACGTGCCTTCGTGGTGTAGTGGTCAGCACACTGAGCCGGTATTTCAGAGGTCTGTGGTTCGATTCCCGGCGAATTCATCTTGCCTGCTTCCAAAAAATAATAATAATAATAATAATAATAACCTAATGTCTCTACATCTTAACTCTTATTCCTTGCCAATATAATAACAGCTTCTAGCAAAATAAGTGACATGGAAGGTAAAGTGCTCTCGAACCCGAGGATTGATCTGCAAGTTGAGAATAAACGTAATTGCATTAATGATCATTTTAATCACTCTCCCATATTTGGTTGCATTTCTTTCAAAAGCTCGCGGATGCTCTTTCCCATGTTGTAAGTGTCTGAGCCACTTATGTTAGTATTTCACTAGATTCGTTGTCATCTGACTTACATTTAAGACATAAGTGATAGTTCCCTTTCTCCCTCCGACTGTAAACCGTGGAAAAACAGCGGACACGATGGTATGATCACTAGTATGAAGTTTTGAATTTTCTGTTGAAGATCGAAATTCCATTGTTAAGTCAATGCTAGAAGTTCAACTTATGGTAGACAATCAGTAAGTCAATTTTCAGTTGAATTAGTATAATATTCACAGAATGTATTGCAACTGTGGAGTGCAGTATTGTCGCTCGAATCTGAATGAAAAATTCGAGCAAACTTTGCCCGGAAACCGAACTTACATAATGTTGTTCGTGTACATTTGTGCGTGTGTTTCCCCAACCATGCACGTTCACTGTCGGAAGCTATAGTGAAAGTCGTGTTATTTTCTCTGCCGATTCTACGCTTCCGTGCCTGTTATCTGATATTTTTATATGTAATAACAACTTAGTATTTTCCTCATGAGTTCTGAAAAGTATAGTAAAGATAAAAGAATAAGAGGAAAATCGAAATTAAGAAAAAAACTTATCGCTAAGCAAGAAAGCGAAACACATGTGGCTGATCTCGCTATGTTGGCGATGGCTAAATCGATTGCTGGTACGATTTTGAAAAATACAAGCAGTGAAAGTTGTCAAAGCAGCTGATTTAGCTAAAAGGATTAAAGTAGTGACCTCTAGGAGACCGAAAACTAACCGAATAAATCTAAAATTTCCTGATAGGTTTGAATTAATTAAAGATAGCTGGCTGGTGATGTGATGCCTGATACTGGTGATCAAGAGAAGTTTTAAGCTGGTACGTGGTGGTTCGAGAACTTTAAGAAAAGGATTGAGATCAGTGGTGTTGTTATGCGCAGAAAGGTAGCAGCTTCTAATTCGGAAACAGCAGAAGTGTATTAATTTAGAAATCAAACCACAAAAATCAATATATAGTTATATTTGCAAATTTTCACAGGACTTGTTTTGATAGTTTTACCAGTGCAAATGAAAAATATAAGATACAGGCCTGATAATTATTGAAATTTATGATACAAAACGTAAATTATTTAAAAACTACTGAATGCACAAACTTTAATCAAGATGTAACTAGTGTTTGGGACACTAACCGGCTCCGCCATTCAATGAGAAGGCACTACCGGACTTGAAATCATCCTGATAATTGCGCGAGTAATCTAGGCAGTTAGGCTGCCTATTTACTGCTTTATTTAAAATACACTTACAATATACATACACATTACATAACATCGAGATTAGTAGAAAGAATTAAGACACAATAACACGCCGAATAAATACTAATTCAGAAGTCAAACAACAAAAATCAGCGTTATATTTACAAAATTTTCACAGGACTAGTTTCGATGATTTTACCGAACCACCATCCTCAGCTGCAAAACCGCAAATGAACAAGATAGGAAATAATGATTAAATAAGATAAGAAAGCCTGGACAAGAATGAGAAAGTGGAGCCATCTGTTGGTGAAACCAGAACTAAAACATAATTTCTTTAAAACGTAGACGATACTTTTACTCTGTTTAAAGGTAATAAAGATGATTTAAATAAAGTTCTTCCAACAATGAATTCTATTGATCCTGCTATTCAGTTCACTTTTGAACTTGAGACTTGAAATTCTCTTCCGTTCTCGACATTCTGGTCACACGTAACACATCCAACTCAATACTACGGTTTACCGTAAACCTTCATCGGTTTTGCCTTCCATCACACTTTAAATCATGTCATCCGACTAAACAAAGTTAGCTTCATTTATTCCTATGTTTTCACGCTCTTCAAGTTTGCTCCTCCAAACTAGCCCTGATAAAGAACTAAATTATTAAAAGCAATAGCTATTGACAGGGGCTTTTCACCAACATTATTAATCAAGCAGTTAAAAAATTCTCATCTCAACACACTAAAAGGCACACTCTTGTTTTAGGAGATTATAAAAATTCTGTTGTCATTCGCTTCTTTCCATCAATTAGCTATAAAGTTGCACATATTTTGCAGAAATTTAACTTTCGGGTTGTTTATTCTCCCATCAATAAAATTCGGGAGTTCCATACTCAAGGACCCTATTCCGGATATGAATTCCTGAGGTATTTATAGGATTCCTTGCCAGTGTGGTTTAATTTACATTGGCCAAACTAAGAGAGCCTTAAAATTTCGCGTCAAGGAACATGAGGCATATGTTAGAAAAAAGGAAACACAGAAGACTTCTGTTCCTCAACATTGTTGGTCCGAAAATCACACTTTCAATTTTGCTGCTGCCAAAATTATTCAAAAAACATCTTCCATTGGAGAACTGGATTTTCTAGAGGCATTTCACATTCATAAAAATCTTTCTGTTCTAGTTAAAGATCCTAATTCCAATCCAAATTTGCTTTCGGCTTTTAAAGAAATTATGTTTTAGTTCTGGTTTCACCAACAGATGGCGCCACTTGCTTATTCTTGTCCAGGCTTTCTTATCTTATCTAATCATTATTTTCTATCTTGTTCATTTGCGGTTTTGCAGCTGAGGATGCTGGTTCGGTAAAATCATCGAAACTAGTCCTGTGAAAATTTTGTAAATATAACGCTGATTTTTGTTGTTTGACTTCTGAATTAGTAGAAAGAAGTTAACAACTGTGTCCGGTTGTGGGTTAGTTTGTATCGTTATAGTGGACACTATATATTTACAACATGTACATCGTAGGTCACTTTCTACATCTTGGTCTTGACAAGGTTACGCAGACCTGTTACATCAAGCTTCTGTGATGATGTCATTTCTTGAATTGATCTCGTTGATGATGTTTATGACTCCCTTTGTCAGGCAGTAATCTGTAACCAGGGAGACTAATCTCTGCCTGAAAGATGGTAGTCTGAGAGTCTTAGTCCTTCTTTCTGAATTTCTCGGTCCTTGTAATAGGCCACGAAGGCCGCTCCTACTTGATTATTGATTTGGGACCCGTCTGTAAATATTTCTAAGTCTGATCCGTCCGGGTGTTTCTTGTACCATGCCATGTTCTTAATGGCTGCGGGGTGGATTAAGGCATCGTGGCTAAGTCGTTCGATGGTCTGGAACTGGATTATGTTGGTACCGTCTAGGACAGCGTCCTCCTCGTAGCGGAATAGTCTATAGAAGAGTCTTTCTCTGTTTGCTTTAAGGTCCAGGGGCATTACTCCTGCTATGATTTGCAGGGCCACGGTGGAGGTCGTCGTAAAAGCTGATGTGATCTTTAAGAGTGCTATTCGCTGAATCTGTGACGGCTTCGTTTGGACTCGGACTGTGTTCGTCATCCAGACTGGGATGCCATATAGCACCATTCTCTCTACTGTTCTGAGGTACGAATCTTTTAGAAGCTTGCTTTTAAGACTCCACTTCTCGCTCATTATCCTGTTAAGGCTATTTATAATCTTATTTGTCTTATCTCTGAGAGTTGTCAGGTGGGAAATCCACGTGAGCTTTTTGTCTAAGACGAAGCCCAGGTACTGCAGCGTGTCTTGTCGTCTTAGCGGTATGTTATTCCCCTTGATGCGAGGCGAATTGGTTTCTTTCTAGGTTTCTTTTGGAAATAGTATCATCTGTGTTTTCTCGATGCTGAATCTGAGCTTATATAGCTCACTCCACTTTGTGAGTTTCTCTAGGGCTGAGACTACATGTCTTTCTATCACTGTGCGATTTCCCCCTGCAATGATGAGGATGAAATCATCTGCGTAAGCCTGAATCGGGGCTTTTCCTTCGAAGTCTATTTGGAGTGCTGTGTCCGCCATTATGTTCAGGAGCACTGGTCCAATATTGGAACATTGCGACTTGTGATCTGGACGCCGTCTCTTGCGTATGTGACTTTCCTGTTTGTTAGGTAACTGTCTATTACGTTATAGATATCTCTGGGACATTTGAG